GTAGAGCTGGGAGGCTGAAAGAAAGTAACATGACCAGCAGACTGGATAAGTGTAAGCGGGGAAATGGTCCCGCTATTGTGAAGAACTTTCCTGGCTTCTGCACTACCCCAGTGAAATGGACTAGCAAAAGGATCTGAGTCCTCGTTCTCACTTCCTTCACCCAGAGGCCTGTCTGCCCTTGAGGACTTCCCTTGCACTCTCCTGTCTGGCAGAGTCCTCGTAACCAGTGTTGAGCTGGAGCAGTTCCCACGGGTCCGCAAGAACTGGTTGTTAAATTTAGAAGCCCGTGTAGAACTGACTGTTAAAGAGACGGGCGGGTAGGCAAACAACTCCGGTCCATGGGCCACATTTGGCCCGCGGGACCATCCTGTCCCCTGCCTAAGCTCCCAGCTGGGGAGGCCGAGGCTCCCCTGGCCCCTCCCCCGCTTCCCCCTCCCCGCAGAGCCACAGCATGCCGAGCCGCCAGCGCCAACGCTCTGAGCAGCTCAGCTCCTGCCGCTTTGAGCTGTGAGCTCCAGCGGGCCACGTGGCATGACCTGGCATAATTATACGCTGCCCTGAGCAGCATGGTAAGGGGGCCCGGACGGGGCTGGGAGGAGGGGGTGAATAAGGCAGAGGCCGGGCAGGGAGCGGTTGGAGGGGGCGGAGGTTCGGGGGGGGGGGGCGGTCAAGGGCCAGGGAAGGGGAGGTTGGGTAGGCGTGGGAGTTCCGAGGTCTGTCGGGGTGGTGGTGGATGGGGTCCAGGGGTCCACTCGCTCCGGGTGAAGGACCTGTCGCCGAAATGCTGCCGAAAACCCAGAACGAGTGGACCCGGTAGGGAACTGGTTCTTAGGATTTTGGGAGCTCATCCCTGCTCATAACCCCAACAAGGCTGGGCCTAGGATTCCTGGGGGACTCGACCCCCAACCTTGCTGTGGTCATTTAGGTCAGGGGCTAAGGTGTCCCCATTCCAGGGTGCTCTCTCTGCACTGGATGCTTTCCTGACCCACTGATCATTACATACGATTTAAAGCAATACAGTTTATTTAATTAACTATTAGTTTAAAAAGGAATAAGGAAAAATGGGAAAGGTTGAAGGAAACACATCACCCCGCTCTGTGGCAGGGAACATCACAGTGTCTCTGGAATGTCAGTCTGTTCCTTGTAGTAGGTCCCAGGCCTCCTTCCCAGGCCCTGGCTGTGCTGCAGGGATACTGCGGGTCGGACCCTTGCTCTGACGGTGTGGCCACATGCTCTCAGGCTCTAGGTGGCAGGACCCTTCTTCCCAGCGTCGCCCCCGCCCTGTCAGGGTTACGATCCCCCTCCAAGTCTGGCCTGCAGTGCCTCTTGGCTGAGGTGTCTCCCTGTCAGGGCCGGCTCCAGGCACCAGCTTACCAAGCAGGTGCTTGGGGCGGCCACACCAGCTCTTCGGTGGCAATTCGGCAGTGGGTCCCTCACTCCAGCTCAGAGCGAAGGACTTCCTGCCGAAGTGCCGCAGATTGCGATCGCGGCTTTTTTGTTTGTTTGCTTTTTGTTTTGCGGGAGGTGGGGGGTGGCTGCTTGGGGCGGCAAAAACCCTGGAGCCGGCCCTGCTCCCTGTGCTGGGCCCACTGCCCAGGGTCCCCCTCGCTCTCCCCAGCTGCTCACCGCACCCAGCTCCAGACTGCTCCACTCTGCCTCAACATGGCTGCTGCTGCTGCTCTGCCTCCAGCTCCCTGGGCTGCTTCTCTGGCCTCTCTGGCTCCGGTTGCTACAGCTCTGCCCCCAGGACAGGTCTGCTCTCTGGGCCGTGCTCTGGCTTTGGGGCTGCAGCTCTGCTCCCAGCAGCTTAGCCTGGGCCCCTGCTCTCCTTAGCTCGGCCCCACTCTGTCTGACCCAGGCCAGTCCAGCTCACACGGAGGATGGGGCCTCCCGGCCTCCTGACTCCTTGATTAGTCTGCCCGCCCTGTCAATCAGGCTGACCTGGAGCATTGGCCTCTCCCCATTGCCCTTGGGGACTGTCAGTCTCAGGGTCCTCATTTTCCATCGACCCTTCCCCTGTTTGTGCTGGGAGCTAGCCAACCAAAACACCCCCACTGAATGTTAGTAAGGGGATAACAGTCCCCTTACATAAGCAACATGGTACTTATATAAAAAACAGGCAAACTGCCTGAATACTGATCCTCTACACCTCCAAAAACCTCTACAACACTCCCATTATTTTTTTTACCAACAACAGAAGGGATCTTGCCAAAGGCAATGTTCTTTTCTGTTTAGATGTTAAAGATGGTTTCTGTCTGGTAACACTTGACGAAGAAAGCACCTATTCAACATCTTTCTGGACTCTTTGGGCAGATCTAGATGGCTATGAATGACATTTGGCTTTAATCTCTGGTGCCAGATTCATGAAGTGCTAGAGGAACTTGAGGTGGTTAATGTAATTGCAGATGACAATTTGGTTGTGGAGACTCCTTTGAAGAGGCACACACAGTATTCATGCAAAATAGTAAAACTCACATAGGCTCAACAGTAAGACTCTCATACAACATAACAAGGGAAAATCCCCACTTTGTCACAACACCTCCCCTAGGTCCTAACATGCAAAGGAACCTGTAACTATGTGATTCCAGTGAATGTGGATTGGAATAATCATTATTGCATGATTAGCCTGTAGCATGTTGCCACTGTGGGACACTGCAACGAAGTGTAATTATACTTAGTCAAAGAAGGAATACTTAGGCATTGTTTCTGCATCCACCAGGTTTGCACAGTATCTCCTGGGATGTGATCATATCCATGTGGACACAGACCTGAGGGAATACTCCTTCCCAACCTCACATATGGTGATCATTGAGCAAGAACCAGCCAGCCAAGCACCTGAGATAGAATGCTTGGTGCCACCTCAGATCCCTGGCCCACCCTGCCCAGTGTCCCATCTCCAGATGTGGCCATCCCTGATGCTTCAGTTCAGAGGAAGGAGATAAAACAAAAAAAAACAGCATACATTGTGTGGGGAGGGAACCAATTCCTCCCTGACCTCTATTAGTGACTCATTGAAACCCTGAGGTGTGAGCTTTAGGAAGATTGGTCCTGCTTTGAGCAGGGGGTTGGACCAGATGACCTCCTGAGGTCCCTTCCAACCCTGATATTCTATGATTCTATGAAGATAAGACATAAACTGAACTGAACCTTAGGGTTGTCAAGCCCTACCCCATCACTAGCAACCCCATCATACAATCACACTCATAAATTTGTTCAGCTCTCTCTTAAAACTAATTAAGTTGTTTGTCCCCACAACTCTTATTGGGAGGCTGTGTCAACCTCCCCCTCCCGCCCCACCCCCGATGTTTAGAAACTTCTTCTAATTTCCAGCCTGAATTTGTTCACAGCCAGTTTATACCCAATGTTTTTGTTCCAACGTTGTCCTTTAGCTTAAGTAGCTCTTCATCCTCCTTGGTGTTTACCCTCTAATGTATTTATAGAGCGCAATCATATCCCCTCTCCGCTTTCTGTTGCAGGGCTAAACAGAAAGTCTCTTCTCGTAAGACTGGCCCTCCATTCCCCTGATCATCACAGTAGTTCCTCTCTGCTCCTATTCAAGTTTAAATTAATCTTTCCTGAATATGGGTGACCAGAACTGCACACAGTATTCCAGATGAGGTCTGACCCATGCCTTGTACAATGGCATTAATCAGAGCTGGCCTCAGTGAAATGGTGCCCTGGGTGAATTTATATTATGGCACCCCCATGGGCACCCCACCCCATCACACCAACCCCCACGGCTCCCCCCATCACCCCTGACCCCCACAACTTGCCCCCATCACCTCCAGGCCCCACTGTCCCCCCCACAGCTCTGAGGGTTTTTTTTGGGGGGGGGGCAGTGTGTTTGTTGGGAGGAATGTGAGTGAGAGAGAGGGGAGTGTGTGTGTGCCTGAGTGACTGTGTCAGCGCACTGTCTCTTTAAGAAGAGCATTCAGGAGCCTGAACAGCAGCACTGGCAGCTCCCACTCTGGACCCAGAGGCACCAGCACACACATGCTCCCCCTGACCCCCACCCCAGCTCAGCAGAGCAGAGCCTGGGTACACAGGTGGGGGGAGGGGGATACGCCAACATTGCCCCTCTCCTCCCAGTGAAGTAGCCAGGATCTAAGAGCAGGGGAGAGCAAACATAAAAAAGGCACCCCCCCATTGGCTCCTCCTCTGGCCACGCCCCCCTTGGCTCTTCCTCCGGCCGCTCCACACACCCCCTGGCTGGTTCCTCCGGCTGTGCCGGCCCCCCCCCCCCCCATTGGCTGCCAGCCGCCATGCTGCGCCTCCCCTTGCTCCTCCGGCCACGGCTGCAGGCCACACTGCAGGCCGCCTTACTGCGCCCCCCCACCCCACTCTGCCTCCTCCAGCCGCGCTCACTCCCCCGGCCGTGGCTGCCGGCTGCGCTGTGTGGGCTGCCATGCTGCGCCCCCCCGCTCTGCCTCCTCCAGCCGCGCCCCCATTGGCTGCAGGCCACGCTGCGGGCCGCCTTGATGGCGCCCCCCCTCACTCCTCTGGCCGCAGCTGCCGGCCGCGCTGTGCGGGCCGCCCTGCTACGCCCCCCCCCCCTCGCTCCTCCAGCTGCGGCTGCCAGTCATGCTGTGCGGGCCACCATGTTGCACCCCTCCTCCGGCCGCGCCCGCCGCCCCTCCCCTCATTGGCTGCCGGCCGCGCTGTGGACCACCCTGCTGTGCCCCCCGCCTCGCTCCTCCGGTCGTGCCACCCCCTCCCCATGGCTCCTCTGGCCATGCTGCCCCCCCTGGCTTGCAGGAGCTTAGCGCCGGCCGGCAGGCACACCGCTTTTTGAAAACGTGTTGAGGGGAAGCGGCTGCTTCCCCTGCACCCCACTAGCTAGGCTACTGCCTCCTCCCCCCGCACGCTCTGCACAGCAGACAGGAGGGAGGCTCCAGGTCTGAGCTTGGCCAGGGGCAGCTCCATGGGGTGGGGGAGGGGGAGGAGCAGCAATGACTGCAGATGGCAGTGGAGCAGGGGCATCCCTGCTTCAGAGGAGTTACCTGGCTGGTCCATCTGCCCCCCTTGCAGGTCGGTCTGTCCCTCTTCTCCAAACACTGCCGTGCTTGCCTGGCTGCCTCTAAGCCTTGCTGGCTGTCAGCAGGTGAGGTGGGTGGGAGGTACCAGCATGGTGCCTTCTTGAATACCGCGCCCTGGGCGGTGGCCCAGCTTGCCCATCCCTAAAGCAGGATCTGAATAAGTCCCTATGTCTACTGGAAATGTCTCACCTAAGACACCCTAGGATCACATTTGCCTTTTTCACAGCCACATCACATCGGTGGTTCATAGTCAATCTGTGATCAACCCACACAACCGAGTCTCTCTCCTCCTCTGTGGCTTCCAACTGATGAGTCCCCAGCTTGTAGCAGAAATTCTTATTATTAGACCCTAAGAGCATGACCTTGCACTTGTACTATTGAATTTCATATCCCATTTCTGTCACTCTAGTCTTCAAGGTCATCCAGACCTTTCTGTACAATATTCTGAACCTCCTCTGTATTGACAAAGCCTCACAACTTTGTATCAGCAAATTTCATTAGCATTCTCCTCTGTTTTGTGCCAAAGTCATTAATAACATTATTGAAGAAGATTGGTCCCAAGACCAATCCTTGAGGAACTCCACCAGTAACCTCTCTCCAGTCCGATAGTTCACCTTTCAGCACAACTTGTTGCCTTCTCCCCTTTAGCCACTCCCTTATCCACCTTACAATGCTTGGACTGATCCCCATCTTCCCTAATTTAACTAACAACATCCCACGTGGTACCGTGTCAAACGCTTTATTGAAGCCCAAGTATATTAGATCTACTGCACTTTTCTTCTCTAAAAAACAATCAGTTATCTTCTCAAGCAAGGAAATCAGGGTAGTCTGGCATGATCTGCCTTTGCTACACCCATGTTGCATTAAATCCCTTTGACCATTTACCTCCATTAATTTACTTATTTTTTCCTTCACAATTTGTTCTAAAGCCCTGTGTGCTACTGAGGTCAGACTAGTAGATCTGTAGTTGCCTGGATGACTTTTTTTCCCTTTCTTAAATATAGATACAACATTAGCTACTGTCCAGTCATATGCTACTACCCTGAACAGATAGATGTATTAAAAATCCTTGCTACTAGACTCACAGTCTTGTGAGTCAGTTCTTTCAGTATTTTGGGATGGAAATTATCCAGCCCCCTGATTTGAGAGCATGCAGAACAGAGAAGGAGTTTCATGAGGAACCTGAACACATCACCCAAGCCAGATTCCTTCATGTGACAGATAAGTGGTTTCTGCAGATACAGTGCTTCAAATACTCATAGAATCATGGACATGCAGGGCTGGAAGGGACCTCAGTTGGTCATCAAGTCCAGCCCCCTGCACTAAGGCAGGATCACGTAAACTAGACCATCCCAGTCAGGTGTTTGTCCAACCTGTTCTTAAAAACCTCCAGTGATGGGGATTCCACAACCTCCCTTGGAAGCCTGTTCCAGAGCTTAACTACCCTTCTAGTTGGAAAGTTTTTCTTAATATCTAACCTAAATCTCCCCTGCTGCAGATTAACCCCTTTACTTCTTGGACATGGAGAACAATTGATCACTGTCCTCTGTATAATAGCCCTTAACATATTTGAAGACTGTTATCAGGTCCTCTCTCAGTCTTCTTTTCTCAAGACTCAAATGCCCAATTGTTTAACCTTTCCTCATAGGTCAGTTTTTCTAAACCTCTGATCATTTTTGTTGCTTTCCTCTGTACTCTCCAATTTGTCCACATCTTTCCTAAAGTGTGGCACCCAGAACAGGAAACAGTACTCCAGCTGAGGCCTCACCACTAGAGCTTAGTAGAGCAGGACAATTACCTCCCATGTCTTACATACAACTCTCCTGTTAATACGCCCCAGCATGATATTAGCCTTTTTTTTACAACTGCATCACATTGACTCATATCCAGTTTGTGATCCACTATAACTCCCAGGTCCTTTTCATCAGTACTACCACTGAGCCAGTTATTTCCCATTTTGTAGTTGTGCATCTGATTCTCCCTTCCTTGGTGTAGTACTTTGCACTTGTCTTTACTGAATTTCATCTTGCTGAATTCAGACCAATTCTCCAATTTGTCAAGGTCATTTTGAATTCTAATCCTGTCCTCCAAAGTGCTTGCAACCTCTCCTAGCTTGGCCTCCTCTGCAAATTTTATATGCATAGGCATCGACTTCCCCTCTTTCCCGTGGGTGCTCGACCCCACTCTGCCCCCGGCCCCGCCCCCACTCCACCCCTTCCATGAGGCCCCACCCCAGCCCTGCCTCTTCCCACCCCTGCCCCGCCCCCATTCCAACTCCTTCCCCAAATCCCCGCCCCGGCCCCACCTCTTTCCCACCTCCTCCCCTGAGCGCACCACGTTCCCACTCCTCCACCTCCCTCCCAGAGCGTGCTAACGCTGCCAAACAGCAGGAAGCACTGGGAGGTAGGCGGAGGAGCGGGGATGCGGCATGCTCAGGGGAGGAGGAGGAAGTGGGGCAGGGGGTGAGCGGAGCTTGGCTGCTGGTGAGTGCAGAGCACCCACTAATTTTTCCCCGTGGGTGCTCCAGCCCCGGAACACCAGGATACTCTCCACTCCATTATCCAAGTCAGTAATGAAAATATTGACTAGTACTGGACCCAGGAATGACCCCTGTGGGACTATACTAGATACATCCTCCCAGTTTGACAGCAAACCATTGATATACAATCTTTGAGAAGTCTTTCAACCAGTTATGCACCCACCTGCTGAAGGCTTGTGGCCTGTTTTTCACACTTCTCCTACAGGAGAACAGTCATTATGTCAGATTGGCCAGACAGGAAAGAAGAACTCCAGAGGCATAACTAGAAGATATGTGGGGAATGTCACACGCCCCCAGTCATATGTTTGCTGAAACATCAATGACTCTGTTGACAGAGAATCTCTCCAATCACAGAAGAAAACAAAACTAAAAAGTAAACAGCACTGCATGTTTCAGAATTTGGTTTAGCTCTCTGTTACAATCACACTCCAGCAAACAAGAATCAAGGCTTTTTTGTTTGTTGGTGCCTTGTTCCACTCCAAATAGTGGGGCTGTGCTGACAGAAATGGTTACTAATCTGTTCCATAACTGTTGTTCTTCAAGATGTGTTGTACATGGCCACTCCACTTCAGGTGTGTGCACGTCTAGTGCACAGTTGTCAGAAACTTTTCCCTCAGCAGTATCTGTTGGGGTGGCACTGGAGCCCTCTGTTGTTTCATGCTGCTGTGCAATGGCATAAAGGGCAGAGCTGCCCCCAGCCCCGCTTAGTTCCTTTCTTACTGGACAGACTCTGATATAGCAGGGAAGGAGGGTAGGTCATGGAATGGACACATGCAACACATCTCAAAGAACAACAGTTACAGAAAATGTTAATAACGGGTTCTTCTTCTTTGAATGATTGCACATGCCCATTCCACTTCAGGTGACTCACGAGTAGTTCCATTTGGAGGTGGGATCTGAGTCTACATGAGTAAAGACTGAAGAACCACATGTCCGAACTTGGCATTATCTCCAGACTGCTGAGAGATGGCATAATGTGAGGCAAAGGTAGGCACTGAAGACCAAGTTGCTGCTTTGCAAATGTCCAGAATAGGCACTTGGGCCAAAAAGGCTGCAGAGGCTGCATGTGCCTTTGTTGAATGTGCTAATACGCTGTTTGGAGGGGTTACATCGGCAAAGCTATAGCACAAACATATGTAAGAGGAGATTCTTTGAGAGGAGACCGGACAGTCCTTCATCCAGTCTGAAATTGCCATAAACAACTGTGAAAATGATTGGAATGGTTTAGTCCTGTCCATGTAAAACGCCAATGCTCTCCTGACCGCTAGTGTGTGAAGTCTCATCCCTATGAACATGAGGCTGAGGGAAGAAAGTCGCCTGACCCTGATTAATAAGGAAGAGACACACCACTTTGGATGAGGGCGTAGGCATATCTTGTTCTTGTAGAAGACTGCAGACAGAGATTCGGACTCTAGAGCTTGTAATTCACTCACTGTCCAGGTTGATGCAAATGCTCCAAACTTTTTAGAAATCTGGCTGTCATAGGATTGGAGAAAGCTGTGATAGCTGCCAGGTGGACCTTGATGTAACTAATGGCAAGACCTTCCTGTTTCAGGAATTACAAATAGTCCAACACATGATGGATCAGTGCCAGGACAGGAGAAACACCTTTTTGCTGGGACCAGATGTAGAATCTCTTACACTTCACCAGGTAAGTATACCTCGTAGAAGGTTTCCTACTATTTAAAAAAAAAATCTTGAACTCCCTTTGAACAAACGTTCTCCTGAGGTGCTAGCCACAGAGCATGCAGGCTGTCTGGTGGAGGCCCTGCAAGTTAGGATGGAGGAGGCTACCATGGTCCTGAGAGATCAGGTCTGGGTCCAATGTAATGTCAATGGAGCTCTATCAGAGAGGGTCAGCAGAGTGAAAAGTCAATGCTGTTGAGGCCATGCTAGAGCTATGAGTCTGACTCAAGCATGTTCTTGCTTGATTTTCAACAACATTCTGGGCAGGAGTGGAACTGGAGGAAGTAAGTATAGGAGCTTGTTTGTCCAGGGCAACAGGAAAGCATCCATGAGAGACCCTGGGCTGTGACCTGCTTGAGAGCAAAACTGATGACACTTCCTGTTGACTTTTGTTGCAAACAGGTCTATTTGGGGAGTGCCCCACCATTGGAAAATGAACCTGGCAACATCTGGGTGGAGGGACCATTTGTGGTGAGAAAGATCTGCTTAATCGGTCTGCCAGATTATTCTGAACACCTGGAAGGTGAGAGGCTTTGAGTGGATTGAGCTGGCAATGCAAAAAGTCCCACAGCTTCACTGACTCTTGGCAATGCTCCTACTAATGCAGCCCAATATGCCGTTAGCCTTCTTGGCAACAAGGGCACATTGTTGACTCATATCCAGCTTCTCGTCCACTGTAATCCCCAGGTCCTTTTCTTCAATACTGCCGCTTAGCCAGTTGGTCCCCAGCCTGTAGCAGTGCATGGGATTCTTCTGTCCTAAGTTCAGGACTCTGCACTTGTCCTTGTTGAACTTCATCAGATTTCTTTTGGCCCAATCCACCAATTTGTCTAGGTCACTCTGGACCCTATCTCTACCCTCCAGCATATCTACCTCTCCCCCCAGCTTAGTGTCATATGCAAACTTGCTGAGGGTGCAATCCATCCCATCATCCAGATCATTAATCAAGATGTTGAACAAAACCAGGCCCAGGACTGACCCCTGGGGCACTCCACTTGATACCGACTGCCAACTGGACATCGAGCCGTTGATCAATACTTGTTGAGCCCGACAATCTAGCCAGCTTTCTATCCACTTTACAGTCCATTCATCCAATCCATACTTTTTTATCTTGCTGGTAAGAATATTTTGAGAGACTGTATCAAAAGCTTTGCTAAAGTCAAAGGATATCATGTCCACTGCTTTCCCCATATCCACAGAGCCAGTTATCTCATCATAGAAGGCAATCTGGTTGGTCAGGCATGACTTGCCCTTGGTAACTCCATGTTGACTGTTCCTGATCACCCTCCTCTCCTCCAAGTGCTTCAAAATGGATTCCTTGAGGACCTGCTCCATGATTTTTCCAGGGACAGAGGTGAGGTCTGTAGTTCCCCGGATTCTCCTTCTTCCCTTTTTTAAAGAGTCTTGCATCTGTGCACTATGTTTGCCTTTTTCCAATCGTCCGGGACATCCCCTGATCACCATGAGTTTTCAAAGATAATGGCCAATGGCTCTGCAATCACATCAGCCAAGTCCCTCAGCACCCTCGGATGCATTGCATCCAGTCCTATGGACATGTGCATATCCAGCTTTTCTAAATAGTCCTTAACCTGTTCTTTCAGCACTGAGGGCTGCTCACCTCCTCCCCATATTGTGCTGCCCAGTGCAGCAGTCTGGGAGCTGACCTTGTCTGTGAAGGCAAAAAAGCTTTGAGTACTTCAGCTTTTTCCACATCATCTGTCACTAGGTTGCCTCCTAAGTTCCCTGTAAGCTGTGCAGCAGCCTATTTAGTGCTGCACATGTGCTCAGGGAACCCGCCCGGGGACCTGCTGTGGCCGAGGGAGGGGTGCCCCTCCCTTGGCCCCCACCGAGTCCGGCTCCCCAACTCCCCTGGCCTCAACTGTGCTGCGGCGCAGTCTGCGGCGGCCCATCCCCAGGCACAGCTGGGGCACTCAGACCTCCTGGGGCGGCACGACCAGAGCAGCCCGGACCCAGCTGCGACCAGGGAGGCCCAGCCTGGACCCAGGCATGGGTGGAGCGGCCCTCCCCTGGCCTGGACCTGCTGGGGCCAGGGGGATGGTATGCCTATCCTGCAGCCCCAGCCCCAGCGCTGCTGCAGCAGGAAGAGGCACCTCTCCCCCCCAGTCCAGGTACTGTTGCTGCAGGGAGAGAGAGCTGCAGGGAGTCCTCTCTCCCTGCTGT